AAAAAAATAAACATTCTATGCATCTCTTGATATTCTTATTAAATGAGTCAATAGTCATTCAATGACGATAAATACACTTCTAATGTTTGAGGAAGACTCTCTTACGATCTACATAAAAAATTGGAGGAAATTTTTTTTCAATTATTCATTACCTTAAGATTATAATTAAAACAATTAAAGCCAACTTGAAGTGGAGGCAAACAAACAAAAATTTTAATTATTTGGGAGTTTATAAACTAGATCCTATGGTTTTTGATTTAAACTTTTCAAAAAAATAAAGAAGAATATTTATTTGCTTTAAATCTCCTACGCGTGAATATTTGTGTTTATAAAAAAAAAACTCTTGAGACGTTTTAATTAATCTAGTTTCATGTATAAATATAATACTAATATTTAACGTAATTATGGTGATTCAATATAACTGGGATTACGAGAACTTAATTGAGATTTGATTTTGTGTTGAAAGTGACTATTGGATTTTTTTTTTTTTAGTTATTTGATCATTTTAATTGAGGTTAAAATTGGAATAACATGTCAAAAGATGCATGAAAATCTAAAATGATATTTATTTTGTAACAAGAAAATTATGTCAAAATGACACTCTTTATGAAAAAAGAGGGAGTATCATTTTGACAAGTTAAGAGTATAAGAAAAAAACTAGCTAAAAATTCGATAGTCATTACACCCTTCAAGTTACAATTCAATATTGGGATTGTTGCGATGCGTTATGTTTAGTTGCTCCCATCCATTAATTCCGCTCGTTCCACAGTAATCAAGTCATTCTTTGCTGCAAAAAAATAAATTAATTAGATTTCATAATTTGTTTTAAAAAGCTGAAAAAGTTTTAAATATTCTATAAAGGTATACTTAATAGTAAGTAGATGGATTTATTAAGTAATAATATCCCACATAGAAAACAGGAAGTAATATAAAAATGATATAAGTTAATCTACACATTCACAATTGGTCTTTTATTTTTGAGTTGAAAACTCATAATCCAACGTTTGAGAGGTGAACGATTTTTAAACATTACGTGAAGAACTGTTTGTAGTGGTTTAAAAGGAAAAAGTAGCAAGAGATTCAGATAATGGTTGGTTAAAAAAAATCATTTTAATATTTCATCGGTTTGAATAGTAAAATAGATAAAAATAACCAAATAAGAATAAATGTAATTGAACCAAACTATAAAGTGTCGTGGCTAGACTCGTAAA